CAGGTTTTCCAGCCAATCACAGCCTGGCTAACATTGGCTCGTTAGTCGCACGTCCGTTTCCTCGTCGTTTCCTTGGTAGTTGGCTGTTCCTCTTATTGTATTAATATAAGGTGATAATATATAATCTCATTTTGAACCTATTTTGTATCTTATAATAGTCATAACTACATAATTATACAATTTAGTTTTTTTTAATGGCTGTAACAGTAATTTAAATTAGTTTTTCATTCACATTTGTATTTAATTAAACAGTAATTATTTTTATCTTTTACCAGTTTTATTTTTGTTTTTGCTTTTTAACTAATTTTATTTTGTATTACTGTATAGTAAAAATTTGTGGTTAATTCAATGTTAAATTCTCATGAAATATTTATTGAGTTTTATTGATGAATTTATTGATATGATAAATGGTTTCTTTCAGGTGTGGGTCAAAGTGTACTCTTATGTCACTTACTGGTGATGTGAAATGCCAGAAAATTTTAATCTCTTTCTTATTGTTTCTCTCTCAGGCTTAAAAATACTTCTGATGATAATGTTTTCTGTTATTTTCTTTTCTCTGTCTCAATGTCCTCTGTTAATGTTTTCTTTCTGTAGTTTATTCCTTGTTTTTTATATTTCTTTCTCTTTAAAAATGCTCCCACGTAAATTTATTCTCATAAAAAATACCCCACGTTAATTTATTCTCATAAAAAATGCCCCTACGTAAATATTTTCAATAAATTTTCTTCTTCTATTATGCTTAAATGCCACCTACAATACTTCAAAAAACACCCCAATATAAATGTTTAAGATTCGTATATTATTTTTATTCTATTAAACGTCTACTGTATTATGTTGCACTATCTATTTACCTCTCTGTATTATTGTCGTGTAAAATTGCCTATTTCTCTCTTTTATCCGTTCACCCGGTATTTTCTTATCCATATGTTCTCTTACCCATATCCATAACATGTCCTTGACTATATATGGATTAAAGTCTTCTCTCTTTACTATTCAATCTCTTATCCATCTTGCATCTGTATCCATACACATTAATGTCCATATCCACCTTAATCCAACTCATTCCCTCATTCTTATCCATTTTACAACTCACTTCCTCATATTCAACTCATCCTAATCCAACTCATTCCTACACATCCCTCTGTTCATCTTTATTCTCTGTGTTTCTACTGTATTTCCCTCCTTTTTTTTTATATCACTTGTATATTTTCTTATTTGTACATAATCTTAGTGTGAGTTTCTTGTACGTTTTCTGTTCTGTCTTCTTGTTTTTGTCCGTACTGTAAACGTCATTCGCTTTCTCCTGTCTACCTCACCTTGCCCCTTCCTTGAGACCTTGTATACTGTACTGTTGCCTTTCTTGAGCACTGTGCAGTATTGCCCTCCTTCCCTGAGGCCTCGTCGTGCCCCTTTTCCTTGAGCCCTGTACAATATTACCCCTTCATTGAGCCTTGTATTGACCCTTTCCTTGAGCCTTATCCTGCCTTGCCTACTCCTAACTCTCCAGCCACTCCTAGACCTTATATAATTAGTCGAGTGTCCCCCCCCCTCCCCTCCCCCCTTCCTCTCCATCTTTTATCATCGTAGCCACAAACTTTCCTCTCCCCATCATAGGGAAGTTTTGACCCTTCAACCTCTTAAAAGTTCCTTGAATTCTATTTTTGTCTTCAGCATCATGCCAGGTGTAGGTAGTCACTATGTTCCCACCTTTCGTAACACTTTGGCTTCAGATTTCCTTTATCCAGTAGAGTATCGGCCATTTCCTTTTGTCTTTTAAATTATCTTCAGCTTTTTCGTCCATTAGAAGATCATTGTAGATTCCTATCGTCCATTACAATAGCCCAACTGTGCTTTATTAATAGGATACCTGTAGTTTCTTAATGAGGTACAGTGTACGATAACGACCCTTACCTGTAGCTCGGTGATTCCTTTAGATGATTACGCTATTATACAGTTATTTGATGTTTTCCAGACCTGGCCCAAATTTTACTCTCCTCTTTAACTTGTTGTAAACTTAGACTCACTCACTTAGACTTCTGCCTCTCCAAAACTTCCCTCTTGTTCAACTCATTGTGACTATCTTAACTCATTCTGATTTGATTATTGTATAGCAAGGATTTTTTTAATATATATATTTAATCAGCTAGTGAATTATATTTGGATTGTGACGTCTTGTGCCTAATGGACTGGTATGTTATGTTAACTTTATATCACCTTCAGGTACGTCATTTTCGAGTTTTGTTTTGTATCTTTCCTTCCTCTTTCCTCCGTATGTACCAGATATGTTTTATGTCGTGTGTATGCGTGCGTGTGTGTTTGCGTGTGTGCGTGCGTGCGTTATGATGTTGAGTTTGACATTTATTTACTCCTCACCTCCTGCCTTATGCCTTGCACCCCAGGACAACGCCAACTTGTATATGAACATGCCATTCATCCCTGGCGGAGAGATGTTCACCTACCTCCGCCGTGTCCGAAGGTTTAGGTAATTCCTACTCCCATTCCCGTGTCCTAACCTGTGTCCGAGGTCACATCGTAACCCATACTTGTGTCTGAGGTTACACCATAACCCGAGTCCATGTCCGGGGGTCAAACCTTAACCTAAACCCATGTTCGGGGGTCACACCTTAACCTAAACCCTTGTCTAGGGGTCACACCTTAACCTAAACCCATGTTCCAAGTACTGTATATCCATAGCCCTTACCCACACCCTGAATACCTCTCCACACCCACACCAAACAGCCCAAGTATCCATATATTTGTACGCCTCTCACGTTTGCCTGTGATCCACCCAGTAGTTATAATTAGCAAACCTTCCGTCTTTCTTTCTTTCCTTCCTTCCTTCCTAGACAGTATAAAAGCATAAAGCATTATTCCTTGCACCAGAATGCAGTTGGATTACTTTCTATAAGATTATTACAACTCGCACTTGCTTCCACAAACTTTTGCACTGATATTTGCACCACTTTTCACTGTGCAACTAAATGCTATGAATAAAATTTCCTAATGGTAACTTGCACTAAAATTACTCTTAAAAAAAAATATATATATTATGCACAGTTACTCGACTTAAGCTGTAGCTTAAAGGTATAACCTGATATTTGGTAATCCCAGAAACAAGATTAAATTTACCTGTTAACTCGACTAGCCAGTAACCCTCAAGATAAACGAAGGTTGTGTTGTTTATTTACTGTAATCGTGCTATAAGTCTCACCATAATCTGTGTACCTATCCTGTGGTGTTCAGTGATATGCGACACTTTTTCTCAAATAATTTTTTTTATATTCTTCGGTTATTTTTCGTTACTTCGTGGATAATCATGAAGTTTGACGCAGGTTAACAGTTCCGTAATTCTCCCTAACAGAATGTGTACAAATATACCTAGTCCATCCTCTCTCTCTCTCTCTTGTCCCTTTCAGTCTCTCCATTTCTGCCAGTTCTACTTCCTCTCCTCCTTATCTCACCTCCCCATCTCATCTCCTCATCCCATCTCCCCATCCCATCTCCTCCCCATCCCATCTCCTCCCCATCCCATCTGCTCCCCATCCCATCTCCTCCCATCCCATCTCCTCCCATCCCATCTCCTCCCATCCATCTCCTTCCCCATCCCATCCTCCCCATCTCATCTCCCCATCCCATCTCCTCCCCATCCCATCTCCTCCCCATCCCATCTGCTCCCCATCCCATCTCCTCTTCCATCTTCACTGTGGCTACCTCACCTTCACCTCAGCTCAATATTATCCTTCGTGTCCCTAATGTCTCCAAAACCAGTAATTGTGTCGATATCAGTTTCTTGGTTCGTTTACATTGATTATTAATCTTTACGTCGGCAGTCTTCCTTTATCTGTTCCGGATCACTCCAGTTAACTTCTTATAATTCTCTCTTTTTTTTTTAGATCCTGTATTTTTCTTTTTTTTTCTCTCTCTCTTTGCATTATTCTATCTTCTAATTTTTATAGTTCCCTTTAGTGTGTTTATGTCTCCCATCTTTCTTTTTGTAGATATATTTTTTCTTGTCTTATTATTCTTTCACCTTTATAGTCATTCAATGGCAACTTATCTTCTGTGATATACATAACTCACTTGTTTTTCGTGTTTTAACTCATTGATTTCATTGATTTATCGCGGTTTTCTTTAAATTTTTTTCCCCTTTCATCTCACACTTTCACGAACATCATAAAACTGTACCGTATATCTCTCTCCATGCTGAGTCCATTCTGTTATCAACTCAATTCACTATTGTACAATCATCCCTGAAATGTAATCCCAGTTTACTCGTCCTCTGTTCAGTGTCATTAAGCCTTGTACAGTGAAGTCCATATGCTTTACTTGTCCCTCCCCCCCCCCTCCCCTCCTGTACTGCTCCTCCCTCCTCCCAATCTCTCTCTTACCCTCCCTCCCCCCTCTCTCTCTCTCCCCTTCTCCCTCCCCCTTCCCTCCCTCACTATGAGTGTCCCCTTCATCATGGACATTGTTATACTTGCAGGATAACACCAATTTATACATGGTGCTTGAGTATGTCCCCGGGGGTGAGATGTTCTCACACTTGCGGCGCTTGGGAAGATTTAGGTAACTACTAACTTCTATTACTGTCACACCTCGTATTATGACAATGTGTTTGGCCCCTCCTAGCTGACCCTGTGACAGCTACCAGGATGATGTCGGAATCAAGCAGTATTATGTGCTATACCTTGTGTGTGGGTGGTTTGTTTTTATTCCTGAGCTGTAGTCAAGTAATGCATTCACAAGTCTAGTCTGTTTTTTCTGACACAATTTTTTTTCTATTGTTTTTTGGTGATGATGTTTGACTTTGAAGGTATTACTTGACTGTAGTGTCCCTGGCCTGAGGTCCACATGGAAGACTGCCATCCACAACAGTTTCTAAACACCCGGCTTCCACTCTTTTACATTGTTAAGTACTAATGATCCCAGAAGTACTGTACTAACAGTCAGCACTAACAAGAATGGTATTACTCAATGTATACATTTCTCCAACATTTCAGGATAATTCCAATTTGTACATGGTGTTAGAGTACGTGCCTGGTGGCGAGATGTTCTCGCACCTGAGAAAGATTGGCAGGTTTAGGTAAGAGTGTCTCTGGACCACTGCTAGTGCTACTGCACCCAAAGGCACACCATCAGCCACTGGCCCCCTCGGCTTTTCATATTAGAATGCTTTAAGCCTCCCTGAGTACTATAGCAGACGTAGGCATGTGAGAACCATGCATTATGTCTGCTGTGATACAGTCGGGAAGGGTGACCATAACTGCCGTGCTAGTTCATTTTTGGTGGCAGGTTTTTGGCTGTTTTTTACTTATAATTTGCTCTCATTTTAGATGCTTTATATCATTTGTTGGTGTTATTAGCTGTCGTGGCTATAACAGTTTTATGAGACGACCCCAGTACTATACCAAGGGGTCAGTTTTTTACTAGAGATTATGGTGTTGTGTATTACATTGAGAAAAAGTGGTGCCTTTATAAGGTACCTTTGGTAAATAACAGAAGGAAAAGGTGAACCTCCCTTTTCCTTGTGATACATAAAACCATGACTAAGATCCAGATTTTAATACCTGAGCTCCAATGTTCCTTTTGTGTAGATGTTCACAGCTTGATGTGGTGGTCAGTATATAATGTACACCCACCCTCTTGTCTCCCTTACTCCCCTTTTGTTAAATAAACAGTTGTATTGTACTATTAATCCTCTGTATAGAAACTAAACTCGCTGTCTATGGTTTTTAAAATGTTTTAATCCTGTATAATGTAGTTAAAATAGACCACAGCTAAATAATATTTTGATAATTTTGGTATAAAGCAACTTTACTTGATCTTCCGAATGTGTGTGTGTGTAACTTTCTGCATGCTTCAACAACCAGTGAACAGTGGGTGTGGTGAAGGTCGTACCATTACTAACATGCCATGGGGAATCTTGACAAGTTTTAGATGTGCTCCTTCTTTAATATAAACATTCCAGTAAATAAATACTGGCTACTGTTACCCCTGTGAGTGTAGTGGACCTCCCCAGACCCTAACACTGTTTGCCTTGTGTTTCCCCATTTGTATATCAAGCACTGTTTCCCTCTCCCTTTGAGCACATATCTGGATATGTCTGTGTCTGTCCTCATTTCTGCTGTGAACTCAAACTTACATACAGAAATTTGATGTCATGTGTTTGAAATAACTAATTCACACACACACAGAGTTTGGTGTTATATGATTAATAACTAGCAATTACTAATAACTTTTTCCAAGGTGCAATATAACAACGGAAGTTAATATCTTTATGTACTAGTAATATGTTGAAAATGTTGTGAAACTACAAAGTTAAATGTGTGTCAGTGTTTTAAGGTAAAAAATATACAGTACATGGGAGTTCTGAAAATACAAATGATCATCGATACTAATTTCTAAAACTGTTTATTGATTGAAATGGATAGCTTTTGATAGATACAGTACGGTCTTGATGAAATAATGGCTATTAGAATAATCTCCCTAACTATTGTGTGTTAAATAGTCTATGCATTGTTTTAACCAATGTACATACAGATAGTTGAACAGTTTACCTACCAGAAAATATAATTAGTTTCAACATTGATTTATACTGTATTTTAGTTCATCCAAAGTTCAGGGTAACAGTTCAGTATTTAGATTGAGATGAAACTCCTATTTTTATTACAGTAATGCCTTTTGGTTATAACTCATCTTATAGAGACATTCAGAAATTCCTGTAATCTGAATACAGTTCCATGACTCAGAAGGACATAAGTTATGCAGCTGAAATAACTCTGTACTGTATCACATCACCAGGATGAGCCAAGTCCTTGTGAAAGTTGATGCATTATATGTACAGTATTGGTGATTAGTGATTTATGTTGTAATTAGGTCATATGACATAGAGAATTGGGGATAAATAGCAGTTATTGGTGACGTTACATGTATCAGTCACTTCCATGATCAGTGTAACATAATCATCTAGTAATTAGCATACAGTAATTAAAGGAAGACAGAGAATGTGTGAGAGAGAAAGTTGGAAATAAAAAAAAATAGATAAAATAAGATGATGTTGAATAGGGAATGAAAGAAGGAAAGACAGGAGATATTATTATTATTACCAAGTCACAATACATCAACAGCCTCTGATAAGGTCGACGAGGGTTAGGCAGGTGTGGGCGGCTGGACTGCTGTGGGTGAGATGGGAATTGCACATGAAGTTGTAGTGGAGGGGAAAGTTCCTAACTAAGAGGCTCCTCATCAAAGAGTCCCATCATAAGAGGAGCTTGAGGGTATTAAAATGTCTGGGTAAAGGGTTTGAGGAGGATCAAAGAGACAAGGTTCCAGTGCCAGAGGATCGTGGGAGTGTTGAAGCTCTGACGTTACCGAGGAAGGAATGGTTAATTTGAAACACTTATTTACATGTTTTGACATGAATGTAATAGGTAATTAGTTTTGCTTGATAAGGTTATTGAAACTCCGTGAATATTAATGTAACTATATAAAGGATACAGTATATTGTAAACTCTTGAAAAATGTCTGCGGCGGAAACTAAGATCTTGTGTTTATGCGGAAGAAAGGTCTCGCAGAGTGAAAAAAGTAGTGTTTCTTATTATACACAATGATATACGGCTGCCTGAAGGAAAGATTTAAGAACTGTGAACATAGATCCAAGTTTATGAAAACGCTGAATGATAAAAAAAAAATTGCTTAAAATCCTCAGACACGAGTGCAGTATTTTGTCCTGTAACACAACTCTGCTTCAGTTTACACGTATTTTTACTTTATGTTGAATCAAACCTCACCTCTCCCCCAGCACACACATATATATAACTGCATGTCAGCTTGTGTACTAATTATAATAACAATTAATATCTCTCTCTCTCTCTCTCTCTCATAAGTATGTATCCTCTTGAGCATTTATCCTCTGGTGTGTCCCTGATGGCAGCCTTTTGTATTGCCTGAAATATATGGATACATAACTGTAACTGTATTTTTCTAATTAATGTGCTACAGTGAAACCTCTATATAACGCACTATATAGAGAGGACAGTCCGTTATATCGAGGCTCTGTTAAATGTGAAATCCCTCTTCTAAAGAACTATATAGAGATGAAAGTCCATTATATCGACGCTGTGTTAAATGTGTAACCCTCCATCTAACGGATTATATATCGAGAAAGAAGTCGTTTATCCGGTTGTTTCACTGTAATGTATTGATGGAATGTTCAGGACTGTACTATATTTATACGGTTGACTTTGTTTATGACGTATGAATACAGTATGTTATTAAATTACTCTACGTTAATATTGTCTTTATAAACAACAACAATTTTTATGGCTAATATAGTTAGTGATGTAAACAACCCAATATTTGTTTCACCTTTAATTACACTTAATATAATGCCCTTTAATTACATTACCAGTAGTTCAGAGTTGGCAACACACACACACACACACACACACACACACACACACACACACACACACACTCACTCACTCACTCACTCACTCACTCACTCACTCACTCACACACTCACTCACTCTCACACACACACACACACACACTCACTCACTCACTCACTTTTTAAACCCCAATATTAATACCTAAACAGACTCAAAACCATAAACTTTTTTGACGGTAGATACGAGTCACACAACAGACCATTGCCGTACTCAGTTCATCACGCCCCGAGGAGCATTTCAAACACTCACTATTTATGTTGTATATAAATAATCTTGTCATGTACTGTATATATAGAAGTACACTCTGAACACGACCGAGGTATTACAGAACAGGTAGCTGGATGGTGGAGAGGGAGAGACCAAACATTGGACCAACATTGTCTTACACGGGACATATAATTTTTACTTTTTTTTAAACATGTTAGAGTTATGTATAGAATTTTGACCTTTTTTATTTTTTACTAACATTATATTGTGGGTTTTAACGGTATAGTATTTGTATAGTTTTATATATCTATAATTAGACTATTTAAGTTGAGTGACTGGGATGCCAGGAAATAATTAAATTGTTTCATTACTTTAGGATATAGTCTCATTAATATATTTCTAGGTGTATCTATTGTTGACAAGCTAAACATCATTAAGCATTACCATGTACATTACAGTATTGTTTTACTGTATAAAATCTTGTTAAAAATATAATACCATATGATGAGCCATACTTTAGTCTGAAGAATATGGCCACTTTACATAAGTTTTATTTATACTGTATATTATTAAAAATTTAAGATCTTAAGATATAATTGCATAGTTGTTTTTGTAGTTTTGGGTAGAGAAAATATTCTATAAGTGTCAGTTTGTGATATATATGGAGTAAAAACCATTAATATAAATTTGTCCTTCCCCCTCCCCGTGCTTCTACAGTGAACCCCACTCACGGTTCTACGCTGCCCAGATTGTGCTAGCATTTGAATACCTCCACTACCTTGATCTCATATACAGAGATCTCAAGCCAGAGAACCTACTCATAGACAGCCAAGGGTACCTCAAGGTAAGGCTCGTGTGTAGGTCAATCGTGTGTGTCATAATTACTTCTGAACTGGACGAGTGTTTGACGCTAGATTACCTTTTAGTGTCCGAGTTGGGTTATTGTCTCGCACTGTAAATGTCCTATTATTTTATTTGTTATGTAAATATTGCATAAAGCTTTTTGAATCTTTCAGTTTAGATTAGAAAGTTTGTGTAGAACTGTAGATTAATAAAGAGATTTTACTGTGATATCACTTACAGTTTTAAAAGGAAATAAATTCTCAGTTACTCCATAGTTAAAAGGGAATATTAATTATGACTAAAAGGACATCCAATTCTGTTTTCATTTGGTTAAAAGTTTGTTCAGTTTATAATTTAGAAAAAAGGGCAGAGGTAATTTGTATTATGTATAGTATAGTGGGTGGTAAGTGATGTTAGTCATGCACTGTGGCTGTTGGTGGAATTCTGTGACTGTGTGTTAAAGGGTCCTCCACATAACACAATCAGTAGAGAGGTGACACTACCTACTATGGCAATGGTACAGATGGTGTCTTGTACCTTAAAATATTAGTGATTTAATTAGTTAGGGAAAATGCTTAACCCCTTGTGTATGGGGTCTCCTCTGAGCTGAAGAAAATTGTCTGTTGTTAGTAAAATTAGATATTAAAAGTGGCGTCCCTGTAGTGTTATTATGGCTGAAACTGAGAGGTTGTTGTCAATCCTTTATAAGCATTCTTAATTAATCCTGTTTGAGTAACGTGGAATATCTGTGTTTCAGGTAACCGACTTTGGGTTTGCCAAGCGGGTCAAGGGACGAACGTGGACGCTGTGTGGGACCCCAGAGTACTTGGCCCCTGAGATCATTCTTTCTAAGGTAATGTTTATATCAAGACTCTACTGTTTGCTGAAGTTATAATACAGAATGTCCACAAAGTTGTGTTCTGATTTTGAAATTTTATTACAGCAAAACTAAAAGAGTACTGTAAACATTTTTCACCTGTGCATGCTGGGATTTGAACCCGGACCACTAAGGTTGGCACTCAGACAGCCATCCATTGGTGATGGACTAAAAGCTGCCCTTCCTTAGCTGCTGACTTTACAGCTCAAGGTCCCTCGCCTATAACTGTGGGTCTGGTGGGTTAGGGAACCCCACTCACACGAGTCCCAGAGAGCTTTTAATATACTTCCCAGCTCAAAAGTGTTGTCTCTATATGATAACCTGTAATGTACACAGGACTTTGTGAACAACCTGTATGTCTAGACCACAATGTTGTCCAGTAAAAGATCTATTCCATACTACAGTACTGCAGAAGATATTATGCTTAAGAAATAAAATATGAGGTTTTATATGCCTGAATATACTCCCTCATCTCACAGTTTCAGTGGCTGTATGCTGATGAATGTATTAAGTATTGCGCGACCTGATATAAAACATTTCTGGTATCTTACAGACAGATAAAAGTACTTGGTAAACTGTATCAGACCTTGTGTTCCTTCTCATTTGATTATATGATGAAAATAATTATGGTACAAATACATTTAGTTTGACTTATACCTCAATAAAGGATAATTACAAATGTTCCTAATTAACTAGTTTTGAAGTTTTTGATTGATTTTTCCACTAATGGTAAAGAAAAGTTGGTTGGCTCAATGGTAATGTTGAGAAAAGAAAAATAACAGATCTTATCATTGATTCATTTTTATTGAAGATATAGCCAAGGTTCTTTCATGGTTGTATGGAGTGGAGTAGATGGCTGAGGGAACTTTATCTTCACACAGGGCTACAACAAGGCAGTGGATTGGTGGGCACTTGGCGTTCTGGTCTATGAGATGGCCGCTGGATATCCTCCATTCTTCGCCGACCAGCCTATCCAAATATACGAAAAAATCGTCTCTGGAAGGGTAACACTCTCCTCCCTCCCCCTTTAACCTCAGTGATATACCTGTATTTTATTTATTTTTACCATTTTCTGTCTATTGTAAAAACTTGTATGAAAGGTAACACATTCTCTCTAGTAACCTGATTGATATATTTACTATTTTCTGCTCATTGTGAAATTTTTGTTTTAATATTGATAATGTTGTGTTTGTGTTTGTTTAAGCTCTCAAGTTTTGGTTTTTCCCGTGAGAATGAAGGTTGGTGATCTTTCTCTGGTGTGGTAATACTGATCTTTCTCTGGTGTGGTAATACTGTACAGTACACAATTTCTACTAGGTATAACTTGGCTGGTCATGCAGAATTGTCACCAGACACTGTGTTAGGTCAGTCCTGTACACTTAATGTGCTCTCCAGATGTGTATCTCTCAGTCTTGTCTCTTTTGTCTCACTTATGTCTGTCTCTCACTCAAGAGTCTCTCCTATCTCCCCTTGTGTCATTTAGAGCTGTCTCTTAATCCAATCTCTGCCTCCTATGTCTCACTCCAATTAATATCTTTGTAACTCTCTCTTCTGTCTCAAACCTCCAATTTGAGTCCCTGTCTTTAAAATATTTCTACTCAACTCCCAGTTGTTTGACTCTGACGTTCTTCTAGGCAAATTCCCCCCCTCCCCCCCACAACCTCTCTTGATGCGGTAGTTCAGTATTATGATATTCTGTTAAATATTAATCCTTCCACACTTCCAGCCCTTACCCTATACAGTATTCTTATTTTCTCAGCCTCCCCTTCCCTACCATATGCTCCAATAACTCCAGATATGTAATATTTTCATCACACGTGTATAATCCAAGTCAACCGTGTAGTAAGAGAGGAATTAATGCCCAGTTTGGTAATCAGAATATCCCCCTGTTTTGTTCCTGATTTACCAGTCATATGTAATTGAATTTTTTAGGGAAGGGGTGGTGTCAGGAGGTGAAGCTATACTGCACTACCCCTCTGTACTAATCAACCTCATAATAGAGAGACTCAGGTTGATATTTATTCCTTTCATGAGGCCAGTTGACTCCTGCAAATTGACTTCAGTTTGGATAATTACAAACACATATACATATCATGTAATATTTTATTAACCTTAGGAACCAATTATACAGTCATCATCCAGTCATCCATTCTCGACTCCTATCCATTAACTACCCGGTATGTCTGTCATCTCGGTGAATTCCGGCACTTTGATACTGTATCTTACTTTTCATGCACCATAACCTAACCCATATCTCTGTTTTGAGTGTTAACATATTAATTTTATGGTAGTGCTTCAAACTATACCAAGTACATAGTTTGAAAAAAAGAATTATACCTAAAGATATATAATCGACATTCTCCATAATACAGTATTCCCCGAAATTTGTGAGGCAACAACCACCAAGCAAGCAAGCACTGTCAGCTTACCCTACTGCATTGATGTGTTTATTGGTCTCCTCTTCACACATCAACACTGTCAGGCCATAAGATTAGAGTTCCTATCTCATGGAGTGATATACTATGATGGTGACAGGTTAATGCCTTGCTGTATTTTCAATTTGTCTACAGTATTAACAAGTCATGTACTTAGATATCTTACAAGAAGGTATTATATGTATTTTCCATCTTCTTGTTCATGATAAGTTAGTATTGAGTAGATTTAGTTTATATCCACATACCGGGTAGACCAAGTTGTAGAGCCACTGGCACACTTGCAGAAGAATACAGTACGTACTATACAAACAGGGTTAATCTCTTCATCCAGAAAAAGCATAAGTAACATTAGTGAATACCATAAGTAATATCACTAGTACAGAAGAGAGTGAAGGCTGCACTGGTGTACACTGTTGTAGAGGGAATACTGTACCTTTATCATGGTCTACAGAGTGCTTTATGTTGGGACTTATATTTCATGCATTAAAATGATCTTCTCCTTCTAGGTGCGGTTCCCAGGTCACTTTTCATCTGATCTGAAGGACCTACTGAGGAACCTTCTGCAGGTGGACCTGACCAAGCGGTACGGAAACTTGAAGAATGCTGTCAATGACATCAAGAATCACAAGTGGTTCTCATCAACAGATTGGATTGCTGTATACCAGAGGAAGGTGAGCTGCCAGCAAACATACTCTAACTGTCCCAAATTAATGGCTAGACTGGTTTTGAAACTTGAGTTATTCTGGTTTGCCTAGAATTTACAGCTTGCATGACTAAACCTTTACTGTGATACGAGTTCATGTTACTTGGTATTTTATTTGCATGTTATGAAGCCTAGCCTTTAGTGTATTAACATCTCCCATCACTGTTATTTTCTCTAGCACGCTAAAACTTACTGGTACTTGTTTTTGTTACTCATTTAACTTTAAATAATTTATCTATGCAACATAAATTTATTTCATTAAGATTAATCTTTGCATGAGTTAACAATAATGCTGAGATTCTCTCTAAGCCACAAGGCCTGGCTTACATCAAAAGTTGCCTCAGTGCTTCTTGCTTCAGTTTTGACTTCAGTGCTCCCACCAGATGATGCAAGTTATTTGCTGTTAAATGAACACTTGACATTTTATTTTATCCTTTGGGGTTATTTCTTACTACTGTATAGACCAAATATTCTTGGGAACTGAGGTATGTTAAATATGAAATGCTGCTGCCAAGTTACCTGTATTGGTGGAGTCCGAGTCAGTAATTGCTGAGCACCTGTTACAAGTTACTGATGTAAAACTCACATTGTTAAACTGTTAGAATGATTAAGTATGATCATCACAGTGTTAACACTGCCCAGTATTACAGAGAGACTCTCCCTCACTGCCTGCTGTGTTTACCAATGAATTTATTAGAAAACTTTAATTTGATCTTAAGAATTTTTTTCCTTCAGTTTTCATAAAAGGCTTCTTTTCCCATGAAGGATTGACACTGATGTACAGTATACTGCAACTAATATTGTTAAGATCATCATCAGTTATTTTGAGCTTGACTAATGGACAGTACATACACAGTATATTGCTATATATACATGGAATAAGAATATTGAAACTTTGTCATTTTTGCAGCCTGTATTATCAAAATCAATGAGCAAAATTTATTCATAAAGGATAAAAAACTATTACACTTTGATATGTTTTGGTTAACAAAATTCTGCCCCCTCCACTTTTTTTTCATGACAAGTCCAGTACTCTGTCCCCTTTCATGTGGTTGGTAGTTCACCCTGTTGACCTCTCATGGTTGTTCCAAATACAGTTGACATACTTATTCATGGTAGTGTTTGTGTAAGAAATTCTGCTCTTAAGAAACTATGTGAAGAGGACATTTTGTCCTCTGTGAAGTGTAAAGATAATATTCTTTCATTAACTTTGTATTTATGACAGTTTGTAAGAAAATTTTCTCAAAGCTCAAAAAATCTGTTAATGTAATCTTGAATGCCTGCACCGCTGAATGTTGCATGACCGCTTTATTGCCTCCCCGTGGTAGACTCCTGCCCCATTGGTTCCAAAGTTAAAGAGCCGCGGGGACACGACCCAATTTCCTCAGTACGAGGAGAGCAGGACCACCTTCCGCACTACAGCAGAGGACATGTTCTACAGAGAGTTTTCTGAATTCTAGACGGTTGGTAACGGTTTTATTCAGCTCATTCATATAGTATTTTTATAAAGAATCTTTTCGTGTAATACATTGTGTCTGTATGCTCAGCCGTGTCTCCCATGGTCTGAGTTTAACAGAGACTTGTCACATCCTTATAGGGCTTTGATTGGACATATATTTTACCAAACATTTTTCTTTTCCTAGTTTTGGGGCAACTTCTCATCCGGGTTTTCATATAATGGATGTTACATCATCATTCTCAGTTTGTAACCGGTCTCACTTAGTAACTTACAGTGGCTGGAAGCTTATGATAATATTTACACTTATTTTAAAACACACTGAAACTTTTATAACACTGAATATTTGTCTGGGGAAAATTATCATTTGCCATATGAAATCAGATTAGCAGTTACAGAGTTTATAGTTCGTATTTCAGGATGTAGCATTTTTTTGCCATTGGCCTCATATTCACACTACTACTTCTACTACTTTTTTGTCACTTGGAATCCAGGGATGACAGAATGATACGAGTCGCCATCATTATTACTTAGTATTACAGTCTTCTCATCCTCTTCTATCAGCTAATTTATCATTTCCGCCACTATCAGTTTATTAGCAGTTTGAGCAGTCAGTCTCATCATATCCAGTGTTAGTGCAGGAAGAAACAGGAATGCAGTACCCAGAGAAAACATGCAAACACACAACCACTATGATCAGTGTGTGGAGTGAGAATTCATTTGGCGAGGAAGTTATGGATGGAGTGTCACTACAGTACTTGGTCTTATTATCACTTTCTTGCATTACTCTCTCTTAGTACCATTTTCTCTTCCTTAGTACCATTTTCTCTTATTGTTGAAGTTCGTTCCTTCCTTCACTGAACCCGGTAAGTAAATGGAATGGAATTTTACTGTGCACTCTCCTGTATGAAGCCTAATTAATATTTGGTTAATTTATTTACAAGAACTGTGCTTGTGTGTATATGTATGTGTGTGTGCATATGTATGTGTGTGTGTGCATGTGTGTGTGCATGTGTGTGTGCATATGTGTGTGTGTGTGTGTGTGTGTGTGTGTGTGTGTGTGTGTGTGTGTGTGTGTGTGTGTGAGTGAGTGCGTGCGTGAGTGAGTGAGTGAGTGCATGCGTGAGTGAGTGAGTGCGTGCGTGCATGCATGCGTGTGTGCGTGTGTGTGTGAATATTCCCACTTGTCAAAAAATTCTCTCAAATATTTCTGGGTCACCTGAAGATTAGTACCCCAGCTTCTTCCACCTTAAGATTAAACACACTAACCTAACCTAACACCTCAGGTAACATTAAGGTGTGCATTATAATCATTAGGTGAAATAAGGAGGGGGTGTATAATGTTATGTGATATAATTCCCTCTTTTTTTTAGTTTTTGAGACAAGTAGATGTATGGACGTATTACAGGAATACAATATACATCATGGTATTCTAGTATTGTATATATCTCATGTTTATTGTCTTGTTATGGTTAGGTTTTTATTCAAGAAGATGAATTTTTGGTGATTATCTTTTATTAAAATCTTTGGTTCATTCTATAATTTGCTCTTAGTTTGTTAGCCTAAATAATCTTATACCTGTACCTATAATTGAATGTCTAGATCCTAATGATAATCTGAGCTGTTGCAGGAACCTTATTTGTATTTATTTGTTTTTCTTCCAAATTTCTTTATTGTGTTGTGATGATGATACAGTTTCTTGTTATTTTCAGATTGAAGCTCCATTTATCCCCAAATGCAAAGGGCCTGGAGACACCAGCAACTTTGACGACTATGAAGAGGAGGCCCTCCGTATCTCCTCCACAGAAAAATGTGCCAAGGAGTTTGCTGAGTTTTAGAGGCCTTTTGCAGTGTCTAGAGGCTAAGCTGACTCCCTGTGTCTGTGTACAAGTTTAGTACTCCCCTCCAGAGACCCCAGTGCTTGTGCATTGTTGTATACATAGGCTGTGTGTGCACCATTATGTGTGCCACACAGCCAGGCCTCAGGCAAGCAGTGGGCTAAGCAAATGCAGCAGGTGCTCAGTTGTGGGAGATGCTGCTGTGTACTTGGTGGCTCACACACATGCAGACAGTGCCAGAGCCCAGGCTGTGATGGCATGAGTGCCAAGGAGCAGTATGGTGGGTGGTGAGGTGAAAGGTGCCACTGAGAATAGGCTTATCTTTAGTGTCACTTGAAATCAGCTTGATGGAATATAACATAAATTCGTTTTACTGATAATTTCCAAGGGAGAAACTCCTCAGTCTTATGATATGCATCACTTGATTAATATGTTGAACAAGTTGACAGCAAGTAACATTAGAGATACATTTGCCTTTGTGTAGAAAAATGCCACCTCAGGAAGATGCCAGACAGAGGCTGTCAAGCGATGGCGGAGTGAGAGAATGGCCTAAGTGTGGTGGTGGGAGCAAGTGCCATTTTTAGCAAATAAGGTGGCGTACGTGAATAGGTGTGCCGCTGCTAGCCAGCCACTTGGGGTCCGGGAGCTAACCTAGTCATGTGGTGAGTGGGGGTTGACGGACTTGCCGGGAAGAACATCAGTATAACAGGAGACGTTCAGGCGGCTCGGAGGCAAGAGTGAGTTGAAAAGTTACTCATGCTTGAAAAGTTATGTCATCTTTAAACGAGACGGAGAGGAAGGTCTCATTTTATGGTCAAGGTGAATTATACGCATGGCAAGAGTAAGAATAAAAGGACTGGACTCAGATTTTGGTAAAAGAAAAGGGAACGAGCCATTTTAAGTGAGGAAAAGGATGTTTCGCATGATGGAAAGTGCTGCAAAATTAATGAAATCAAAACATATCCTTGATCTTTAGTAATGCTAAGATTGAAATATTTACGAAGGAGCACCTGCCAGAACAAGGAGTAAGTCTTCAACCCGGGCTAACTCCTCCGCCGGTCTCCTGGAGTCTCCCTATTGGCCGTCATCAGAATCGACTGCAGCTTCGTTTACTACACACGGTCGATGCCCCAGATTAACTATGCCAAAATGCAGCCGACTCTCATCACACACTTTGTAGATTACATAGTACACTTATATGGGTTCAACAGAGTTTTTATGATTTAATACAAGAATGACAAATGGCTAGATTTCCCCAAGTTGCATGTATGTAGGTATGTATCAAAGTTAATAACATAAAAAAAATATGTCCATGTGTGCAAAGTTGTAGAATACTTATGTGTTGGATTAGTGTTTCTATGCGATTCACATTGATGTGATAAATTTGAATGATGTGTGATGGCTTCTTTTCATCCATTTCAAAATGAAAAACTAGTTACCGGTAGGCATGTAAAAATTAGATTTTGTGAACTAATCTTTTCTTTTAACTGCCAGTGGGAATGAATGGTTATTAATTGCCTAATTCTGAGAGCAAATATTTTTCTTCTCTTCCTCCTTGTGAAGTCTCAAGCTATATAATACTGTACGGCTCTGTGAGTCCTAAGGCACACTGTAAAAAATAATATTACTTGTCTATTTTCTTGCATTTTAGAGTCTATTGTAATGATTATGATAATTATTATTAGTTTGTGTTGTTATGGTCTGGCGCTCGATTTACGTATCACACTAACCTTAGAGGATTTATGTTGAGTTTCCCAGAGAGCGTCTCATTTCTTTTTAGTGCAATATTTTGATGATGAAAGTGAGAAAGATGCCCTGTGTCACTGTACTTTGCAATGTTACAAGAATATGCAGCTCCAAGGTTTTCTGTCTTTATGTATATATATAAACCTCAGATCACATAGCTGGCATCATCATTACCCAACTGACCCAAGTATCTCCCGTACCGGAGGCACGACCCGAGTCGTGCAATGGCCTTTAGACGGAAACTTTTTACAAGAATTTGTGTTGAAATTGTCGTTTCTGTTAGCAAGAGCAGTGTGTAATTAGTAGTAGGAGTTCAGTACATTGCCAGCCACGTAGGAAAGATTTTTTCCTAATGAATTGGAGATAGGAAGTTACTATGTTTGTACAGTTATGAATTTACATTCAGTATGTTTTATGTAAAATTGCATATGTTAATTCTCTGTGTAGAATGGGTACATGAAACATAACCATTGTATACACAGTTTCTTAGGGGTGATACTTATTATGATAGGATGGCCATTTTTTTTTCTTTTTGGATGGAACCAAAAACTGCTCAATGGGAAGTTTTTGATGTATTAATATTCTGTCAAAAATGTTTTGTGCCAGGCACTTCCGTTAACTGATTTTTTGCCATAATAACTTCCATCGTTGGTAAACTATCACCAAGTGGGAGGAGCAGGGATGGTGATGGAGGTTAGTTCCTTTTTATACTGTGAGGGCCTTTTAGCAAGTTATGGTCATATGTTATTTTAATCAAGCTCCTCTGGGTGTGCTGGTACATGTAGTTGGAAGTAAAGTATTTTGTTTACCAGGTGAAGAACCTTAGCAGATAATTTTACAACATTTTATTGAACTGCTGACCTATAGTATTTAGAACAACAATGACCTTTGAGTGAAAGTCTAGCTATCTTTTTTCTTTTATTTAAGTTACACTGAAAGGTCATTCTCCTGGCACAGTTGGGAATTAACAATTCCAAGTCAGCAATGGGTAATGCAGACTGATAGTTGGATCAGAAACCCTAAGTAGCAGTATCTTGTGAGTGTTTTTTACAGTAATACATGGTGCTCTGTATTACTCTTTGTGAAGAGTTAAGTTAATACCTCCTCACACTCAACTGGCTCCACACGGCCTTGTGTTGGGGGCAGATGTTACCATCATTTAGTGACTGTATGCATCCCAGCTAGAGTAGAAATAGTAAGATATTAACCCTGTCAATACTACTTCCAAATTTTAACAAATCTCAGAACTAACTGTGAATAATTATTTCATTACTATTTCCAAGTATATTAGAACAGCAACTTTAAATCAACATTTTGTTGCTAGTCTATGAGTTTGACAAATAATACCTGAAACATTACAGGTGGTATAAAGATATTCTTTGTACACTACTTGAGTTTAGAAAAGAACAATATTTATTTTTCATGAGCTTCAAGATATTTGAAGAATAGAATGAATGTTAATATAGGTTAATGTTAATTCAAGATTGGAACTCAAGAAGCAGCAGTAAAGACAAGCAAGCACAAACAAGGTTGTTTCCATAGCAAACTAAGGCCAGGTCCTTGAATATTGCTGCTGTATTGGCATTAAGTGGAAAAAAAATGCTGTTCCACCAAAGCTTGTCTGTTGGTTGGTCTTTTCCATTTCGTCAGAATACTGTTGATTTTTCATAGGACTTGTTTATGAAATTGTGAACGAACTGTGTATTTCAAAACTCAACTTGCATGTTTTTATCTTTTGAGAAATTGTTTTCTAAGCCATAATTGTTCATGACTGCAGCTTTACTGGCAGAAGACTATCACGGGGCTGTTTGCATCAGTCAGTAGCAGGCAAATGTTATGCAAATTTCCTCTTAACATTTTTGTCAGTGATTCTGACAGTTTGATGAAGTTTTTATATTTTGTCTGGAATTGTACAAAGAAATTGGAACAATTATTATACGAAAAGACTTTTTTTTTAGATACATTTTTCCATAAGTTTACACGCTAAATATGACGATACCGGTAATCTGATAGTTCCACTAACTGCATCGTTTCATTTAAAGTTTACTAGGAACACAAGTAGCCACAAACTGGTGCACCACATACAGTTAGCTGCAGCAGCCACTGACTGGTGCATCACATACAGTTAGCTGCAGCAGCCACAAACTGGTGCATCACATACAGTTAGCTGCAGCAGCCACAAACTGGTGCATCACATACAGTTAGCTGCAGCAGCCACTGACTGGTGCATCACATACAGTTAGCTGCAGCAGCCACAAACTGGTACACCACATACAGTTAGCTGCAGCAGCCACAAACTGGTGCATCACATACAGTTAGCTGCAGCAGCCACCAACTGGTGCATCACATACAGTTAGCTGCAGCAGCCACAGACTGGTGCATCACATACAGTTAGCTGCAGCAGCCACCAACTGGTGCATCACATACAGTTAGCTGCAGCAGCCACAGACTGGTGCATCACATACAGTTAGCTGCAGCAGCCACCAACTGGTGCATCACATACAGTTAGCTGCAGCAGCCACAGACTGGTGCATCACATACAGTTTGCTGCAGAAGCCACAGACTGGTGCATCACATACAGTTAGCTGCAGCAGCCACAAACTGGTGCATCACATACAGTTAGCTGCAGCAGCCACAAACTGGTGCATCACATACAGTTAACTGCAGCAGCCACAAACTGGTGCATCACATACAGTTAACTGCAGCAGCCACAGACTGGTGCATCACATACAGTTTGCTGCAGCAGCCACAGACTGGTGCATCACATACAGTTAGCTGCAGCAGCCACAGACTGGTGCATCACATACAGTTAGCTGCAGCAGCCACAGACTGGTGCATCACATACAGTTAGCTGCAGCAGCCACAGACTGGTGCATCACATACAGTTAGCTGCAGCAGCCACAGACTGGTGCATCACATACAGTTAGCTGCAACAACCACAGACTGGTGCATCACATACAGTTAGCTGCAACAGCCACAGACTGGTGCATCACATACAGTTTGCTGCAGCAGCCACAGACTGGTGCATCACATACAGTTTGCTGCAGCAGCCATCAACTGGTACACTACATAAATACATTCCGCACACTGAGTCAGACTTAACGTGGGCATGTGAATTTTCTTTCTTGTTACCTTTCATATGGTGTTTTCCTTGACTCACCTAGTGTACAACTGGATGAAGCTCACGATTTGACTTATTGTGAGACGAAGCACTGATGTGGGTAACTCGTGAATATTTTGAGGACAATTTTTAAAAATATTGCATTCGGCGAATTGATTACGGGCTCGTCACTGCTTATTTTAGACTTCATTGTAAGACAGAGAATTAATTTCAAGATAAATTGTTCCACTTGTCTCCATGGAGGTTCAAACACGTGTTGCAAAATTCACATTTGCCCAAGTTGGCCTCTGCAAGCTGCGGTGAGAGGGAATGGCAATTGTTGAAGAATTATGGTAGTGGTGATCATTATGATGATTCTTGAAGAGAATGGGTAAACAAAACAGATCGACGTGAGTTAGTGGGTTCCTCGATGTTGATTGTATGAATTCCTCCGCTCCCCAAACAAGCGACGTACGCAGGGTCCCCTTGAGAAGCCACAGAAATATCTTCTTGTGAAGGGCTAACTGATGTGTGATTTTAGCATTGATTCATCATCCCCTAATGATTGTTACTATATATACATCTCAGAACTGCTAGTATCTATTTTTCTTAATCTCTAACGTGCATTAGTATGTCTGTGTGTGTATGTGCCCTTAGGAATATGTTTGTATGGAAACTGTGGTTGGGACCTTGTATAGGAAGCTTAAACCAGACTCTATATCCCAATTGAGTATTTAATCTATGTTCAGTGTTCATAGTCCGATTGCATTGAGTTCATATTTTGTGATTTGTAGTTGCCAATTTTGAATAAGACGTTAATAAATGAAACATGTACTAAGACAAGACATTTTATTACAACCTTCATTAGAAAATACTTTAATGCAGTTTAAGGATGTGTGCATCTGAGAAAGAATGTTTTTATTAGGAAGTATTTTTGAAAGATTTACTGTATTTAATACAGTATGAGAATTTTATTGTTTTGGGAGTCCTGGAAAATTTTATTTATTTTCTGATAAAATGTTACTGCTCAGTTAATTTTGTTTGTTTCATTTATAAAAGTTCAGTGCAGGTTGAAACTCCCATATCCAGCAACCATTGGACCAGCTTCGAACCGGATACAAGATACAGTAGTATTACCATTATGTCCATGTATTTAGAAGGTCGTATTTCTTATGCAGTTATAACCTGTATATACTGTATGCCTGTACCTGTATACATACACACTGTATATTATATAATTTCTTCTTTAGGGCTTTAGTTGTAAAATCTCAATTTGCTTTTTTGATGTTTGGGAGCCATGGTGTAGTTCAAGAAGAGTAGAATCAAACTGCAACACTTAAATAAGTGCACTACCACCCTCAGCTGTGAATTCAAGCAAATAAAATGAATGTTGGGAGTGATTGGCATGCCACCAAAACATTAGTGGCCAACAGGTAAACTACGAGACGCTGCCGCTCGATGGGAGGTTTGCCGAGTAATAGAAATTCTGTTCACGTTACCATCTAACCACACCGTTCTTTAGGAGGTTTGCAGGGTGATGGAACAATCAAACTTCTTCATCATCATCACTGTTTTACGGCCATTTTCTATACTTGTACAGGTTAGTAATATTAACTTAATGGTAGTTCTCTGAACTGCACTGTGTCCTGCCATCTCTCGTCAAGTTGTAATATGAGGTCACTTCTCAGTTCTCACAGCCTCTCTCCATGCCATTCTTGGCCTACCCCTAGCTTCCCCCTTTCTCCTTCAAACTCATACATCTCTTGACCCAATTAATTTCCTCCATTATCTCCACATGCCCAAACCACCATAGCTTCCCTCTACTAAAAACCTTGCCAATGCACTTAATACCCAGCCACCCCTTTAACTCCTAATCTCTCAGCGTCATCATACACGTTGATCTCACCACTGCCATTTCAGCTCACTTAAGTCTACATGAATTATTATCCATGTTTCATTGCCATATAACTAAACACTTCTCATGCTGGTTGTGTACTACTTTCTTTTCAAGCAAGGTGAAGGTCCTATTGCAATCTAACAAAGACAACAGCTTTATAATCTTCTTCCAGCTACTTCTGAATTTTGCAAGTGAGCTAGAGTCAGCTGCACCTCCAGTATAGATCATGTCACCCAGGTACAGTAGTAACTATCCCTTATGGGTTTTTTTAGCACTGCACATATTCGCACATTCAGCACAATTTAAGTCGGCAACATCCTGTAGTTTACCATTTACACCACTGCACCTCTTGTGTACTTACCTTCCTTACTTACTGTGCATCATTGAATTACTGCCAACATCCTTCTCTTAAACAGCACATGGCCATTTTCCTCTTTCCATCACAGGTCTTTTACCCACGCCACTAATCCTATCATCTTAAGGTTTTATATCATCACATTTTCACGGTTTCAGTTGTCTGCAATCACGTGCAATATGTTTAGAGAACTGCTTATAGTTATAATGTTCTCTTGAGGAAATATAATAACACATTGTAGAACATGTCTGTCTATGTGTGACACTGTTCATCACAAGTGTTCAAGAGTGTAACAGAAAATTTTCTAGAAATTCTCTATCTCATTTTCTCAAAGTCTTCACCATGTTAATGAGAGTCCTACATACATACAGTTCTGTATAATGCAATATAGCTAAATTATTACTACAAAGATATATCTGTAGCACATTGTTATAGAATAAATTCACTCTTGAAATTGAAACCCGATCTACTGGCTACATGAAGTATAGTGTGCTTAATTAGCGTTATATCCAGGGTAGGATTTGAAGCCGAGAACCACAGCCCCAAGTGGTATCTGGCCACCAGACAAAAGAAATCTGTGGTGCCTCCCCTCAAAAAAACAATAAGAGTATCAAGTTGTGGAAGTTCAGGAAATCAAGCACAAAGTACATGTACAGTAGTGATGGAGAGCACAAGAGGCCCAGAAAACAGTTAGTAACAAACCCTTGAAGGTAAGGCTTAGAGTTTGAAGGATTAAGAACTTGTAATTGGAGTAAAATTGATGTACTGTATATAGAGTGCAATAATAGAGGGAGAGCCTTAGCCCTATAGCAGGCATATGAAAGACTAACATAAGTCACTTTAATTACAGAGGACAGAGAGGTTGAGGGTAGGTGGTTGACAACGCACTGAGGATCATGTAAACGATAAAGTTAAGACAAACGAGATGATGATCTTAATGCTGTCAATATTTACTGACTTGGACAAAGAAAACTCATGGTGGATGTACAAGGCGCTGGTTCACAAACATATAGAGTAAGTATACTCAGTGTGTCATCCTCACAAGAAAGACGTCCCCACAATAAAAAATAATCTAAAGGTAAGCAACAAAATTGGTTGTTACCTAGACTAAAGAAATTGAGTTATGAAGACCATCTTAGATAATTGGGCATTTTATCATGAATGTGATTAGTTATAATACTTTATTCTTACCAATACTTGGGTTCCTGTTTATTGCACATCCTAAAATACATAGGTAGTAGGCAGCAACCAAACTGGGAGGTACTACAGCCTGGGGAGATATTGGAAGCAAAATGTGTTGTCTAATGGTAGACCCTGCTGCCAAATGGCATCACAAACATTGTACCAAGACCCAGGTTGCTGATCTGACTTTCTGCCTCATTTACACAATTGCAGGGTCAAAATTGTTTCTCTTTCTTTAACAACACAAAATTTATATTATTTCTCACTCTTGATCTGTTTAATTTTTTGTATTTCTAATTATCCCCCCCTCCCCCTGCATCGATGTGGGTTGGTAACTTGTGCCCAGGTGACCTAATCCCCATTAAAAAAAAGTTTCACACTTGGAGCACTCAAAACTAACCCCTTGGTCACTTAAGACACTCAAAACTAACCCCTTGGTCACTTAAGACACTCAAAACTAACCCCTTGGTCACTTAAGACACTCAAAACTAACCCCTTGGTCACTTAAGACACTCAAAACTAACCCCTTGGTCACTTAAGACACTCAAAACTAACCCCTTGGTCACTTAAGACACTCAAAACTAACCCTTGGTCACTTAAGACACTCAAAACTAACCCCTTGGTCACCTAAGACACTCAAGACTAACACCTATGTGCCATTGGGGTATTACCAGAGGTATATATATATATATATATATATATATATATATATATATATATATATATATATATATATATATATATATATATATATATATATATATATATATATATATATATATATATATATATATATATATATATATATATATATATATATATATATATATATATATATATATATATATATATATGCTGATAACCACAAGGAAAGAAGAAAACACAAAGTTCCCAAGCGCTTTCGTGTAATTCACATCTTCAGGGGTGAGTACAGACTAGGACTTCTTTCCTTGTGGTTATCAGCATATACCTAGATCACGCACCTACAGTGATTTACTTGCATATATATATATATATATATATATATATATATATATATATATATATATATATATATATATATATATATATATATTTATATATATATATATATATATATATATATATATATATATATATATATATATATATATATTTATATATATATATATTTATATATATATATATATATATATATATATATATATATTATATATATATTATATATATATATATATATTTTACAGAATTTAATTTCATCTCAATTAGTGATTATGAAAGAAAATGCGAATTAAGAAATGTAATTTAAATAGAAGATGAAGCATAATTAAAAATGTACGAATATGAATCAAAATAAAGGTGCTCTTTAAGGAAGTAATTACAGTACAGGTATATGAAAAAATATATGTATTTTGTCTATTGTTCTATGTTATTTGTTCAGTTTTGTTTAATATCGCACAATTGAAAATAAAATAGTCTTACATTCTTTACAACCATTTTCTATGATGGCACAGAGTATGATGTTGTAAATGTACCGTCCATAGATGGCGGGACAGTCGGACGTCACGAAGAAAATAATGGGTTTTAAAGAGAGTTTATTGTCCCTTCTCCCTAACCCTCAGACCTCAGTGAAGGGACGCCGGGGTGGAGGTTGTCCCACCAGCCAACTGCACTAATATCACTTAAGAAGTTACGAAAACACTTGTATCAGCCTCTACATACAACAATAAGGTAAATTGTCACCATCAACAAGTTTAATTCTATTATAACCAGAGACAGAATTTTAGTGATATTATTTGGTATCGGTTTAACCCCAGCCGTCACTAAGAGGTGTGTTGCTTCAGCTGCTCTTGTTACTTGTGCCTATTCATTTATTTAATTTTTTTTATCAATTGGATTTACTCTGTACATGTATATAGATTACTTGCTTTTAAACCTACGTTGTATTTTTGCCCACTAACAGGTTTGTATACTGTATAATAGGATTTTTAACCATTTTATGGACATAAATTGTTTTCCAGTATAAACAACGGTAATAATGAGCAGATGGCTAGCACTTGGAGTTTTTTATTATGTTAATTTTTTCCACAGGTGTTCTTTGAGCTATAGTAAGTAATAAAAAACGGTATTTTTTTCTTTTTAACAATAATTATTGGTAAACTCTAGTAATACACCGGTCTTTCTCTCGCTGTTTTTGTTATATATTTCGTAATATTTAGGCAATTTTAAGACATTTTTCTAATATGATATTTCCGCCGGTTTTGTGGAAATTATTCATACCTTTGAAATGATTTTTTTATGGAAGTCAGTTTTTGCAAATTCACTGTGTTGACAACACATAGGATTGTTAATGTTAGATTAGGTTGTGATTGGTAAGGTTAGGTATATATATATATATATATATATATATATATATATATATATATATATATATATATATATATATATATATATATATATATATATATATATATATATATATATATATATATATATATATATTACTGGATTATTACTTGTTCAAATGGCTTTTAGAAAATTTTAATTACTTTTGCAAGTCATTTGAATAAGTAATAGTGCAGATATCAAATTTTGGTCAACAGGTCCTTAATCAGCATGCTCAGGAGTACCTATACTGAGATTTTGAACAAAATCTATTTTTTGGCCGAAAATGACAAAAATTGTAAGTACAGTATTATGCCTTACAGGATTTTTGGACAAAAAATAGATTTTGCTGAAAATCTCAGTATATGTACTCCTGAGCATGCTGATTGCAAACCTATGATCCTCGTTTCGATTGGGGCGTAATTAGTGGCCTTAATGAGGCTTGGAGTATATTAAGGACATTTTCAATACTTATGACTCTTTCAATGCTAATTACTAGCCAACTATGAGTTTCCCAGTTGAGATTTTGGTGTTTATGTGTTCTTCTGGAAGTATTTAATTGGTTAAAACCCTCAAATTCCAATTCCGAGAGAAAAGTCTATTTTGGTCAAAAAATTACTAAGGTATAAGCAGGGCTGTGGAGTCGAAGACAAAACCTTCGACTCCGACTCCTCAAATTTTTATGCTTCCGACTCCGACTCCTTGGCCTATTTGTAATAACTATTTCTACCATCCTAATTGTAATTTGTATGTTGTAACCTGCATAGGTAAAAAGTAAAACACCGTGGCTATACTGCTACAGCTTTATTAATGATCTGGACGATATTTAAGAACTACAAAAAGATGATGGGCTTGACTTTCAAAGTTTCAATCAAAAGAAAAATAAATTTATTAAGAATTCAAGATATTAACTAGAAAACACCATTTACATGTATATCTAAAAGTTCGATCTCAGCATATGAATTTTGTTTAAGCTCATAATCTGATGTGGATCTAAATGATGATCCTACAATTCCTTTTAAAGTAAAGTTATATATTTATGTACATTAAAGAAATGAATACCTTATTAAGGAAAATGGATAAACCTTACATGATTAAGTTATTAAATTGAATTTGCCTTAATCTCACCAAAAACAGGTTGTAGCTAATTGTTTTGTAGCTGAGAGCCTCTGTGCAGTTTTCAACGAAACAAAATTTGATATAATTCAAAATTTCAAATGGGAAAGAAGAGACTATCGTCCAAAATTATAGTGCTATCCTGTGCCTGCCACAATAAATTCATAATAATGCTTATAAAATGGAAATAAATTCTTTTAATAATTTAAGAAAATTAGTGGGATCAGTGGAATCACTGCAATGAATATGCCTGAGTTCATATATTTGTTCTTAGGAACAGAATAGCTTCAGTCGGAGTCGGAGTCTGGACAATTTTACCGACTCCGACTCCACAAGCCGAAATTTCCTCCGGCTCCTCGACTCCGACTCCGACTCCACAGCCCTGATAGGTACTCCTGAATGTGCTGCTTAAGGATCTGTTAACCAAAATTTGATATCTTGATTATAACTTGTTCAAATGGCTTTTAGAAAATGTTCAAATGATTTTTAGAATATTTTAATTACTTTTGCAATGCTAATTACTCGCCACTTATGGGTTTTCGAGGTCATTTCTTGGTGCTTGTGTATTATTCTGGATGTACTTAAATAGTTAGGCACATTAAATTTTAGTTCAGAGAGAAAACGTATTTTTGGCCAAAAATCCTTTAAGGCTATAGACTTACAATTTTTCGTCATTTCGGCCAAAAAATGGATTTTGTTCAAAATTTCAGTATAGGTACTCCTGAATGTGCTGCTTAAGGATCTGTTAACCAAAATTTGATATCTTGATTATAACTTGTTCAAATGGCTTTTAGAAAATGTTCAAATGATTTTTAGAATATTTTAATTACTTTTGCAATGCTAATTACTCGCCACTTATGGGTTTTCGAGGTCATTTCTTGGTGCTTGTGTATTATTCTGGATGTACTTAAATAGTTAGGCACATTAAATTTTAGTTCAGAGAGAAAACGTATTTTTGGCCAAAAATCCTTTAAGGCTTTAGACTTACAATTTTTGTCATTTCGGCCAAAAAATGGATTTTGTTCAAAATTTCAGTATAGGTACTCCTGAATGTGCTGCTTAAGGATCTGTTAACCAAAATTTGATATCTTGATTATAACTTGTTCAAATGGCTTTTAGAAAATGTTCAAATGATTTTTAGAATATTTTAATTACTTTTGCAATGCTAATTACTCGCCACTTATGGGTTTTCGAGGTCATTTCTTGGTGCTTGTGTATTATTCTGGATGTACTTAAATAGTTAGGCACATTAAATTTTAGTTCAGAGAGAAAACGTATTTTTGGCCAAAAATCCTTTAAGGCTATAGACTTACAATTTTTCGTCATTTCGGCCAAAAAATGGATTTTGTTCAAAATTTCAGTATAGGTACTCCTGAATGTGCTGCTTAAGGATCTGTTAACCAAAATTTGATATCTTGATTATAACTTGTTCAAATGGCTTTTAGAAAATGTTCAAATGATTTTTAGAATATTTTAATTACTTTTGCAATGCTAATTACTCGCCACTTATGGGTTTTCGAGGTCATTTCTTGGTGCTTGTGTATTATTCTGGATGTACTTAAATAGTTAGGCACATTAAATTTTAGTTCAGAGAGAAAACGTATTTTTGGCCAAAAATCCTTTAAGGCTATAGACTTACAATTTTCGTCATTTCGGCCAAAAAATGGATTTTGTTCAAAATTTCAGTATAGGTACTCCTGAATGTGCTGCTTAAGGATCTGTTAACCAAAATTTGATATCTTGATTATAACTTGTTCAAATGGCTTTTAGAAAATGTTCAAATGATTTTTAGAATATTTTAATTCCTTTTGCAATGCTAATTACTCGCCACTTATGGGTTTTCGAGGTCATTTCTTGGTGCTTGTGTATTATTCTGGATGTACTTAAATAGTTAGGCACATAAAATTTTAGTTCAGAGAGAAAACGTATTTTTGGCCAAAAATCCTTTAAGGCTATAGACTTACAATTTTCGTCATTTCGGCCAAAAAATGGATTTTGTTCAAAATTTCAGTAAAGGTACTCCTGAATGTGCTGCTTAAGGATCTGTTAACCAAAATTTGATATCTTGATTATTACTTGTTCAAATGGCTTTTAGAAAATGTTCAAATGATTTTTAGAATATTTTAATTACTTGCCACTTATGGGTTTTCGAGGTCATTTCTTGGTGCTTGTGTATTATTCTGGATGTACTTAAATAGTTAGGCACATTAAATTTTAGTTCAGAGAGAAAACGTATTTTTGGCCAAAAATCCTTTAAGGCTTTAGACTTACAATTTTTGTCATTTCGGCCAAAAAATGGATTTTGTTCAAAATTTCAGTCATGAGGCTGTTGAAGAATCACTTACCTGTATTTAATAATGCCATGTCCTTACAGAACCACATAACATCACATCATCTTACTGTTTACTGGAGGAGCCACCAAGAACAGCTCAGACGGCTAACAATGCTGTTGACTGAAGTCCTCTATAAACTTCACAGAGTGACGGTAATAATTTTATGGTTTTGAGAAAGTATTTTGTGTGTGTGGTTACCTATCTGTGTACAAGTGTGTATGGTAGCTGTGTACATCTACTTCTGTATAGAAGTGTATGGTAGTTTGTATGTGCAGTTCTGTATGGTAACTGTGTACTGGTGTGAACAGTTCTGTTTACAAGTGTATGGGAGTTGTGTATGAACAGTTCTGTATACAAGTGTATGGTAGTTGTGTATGAACAGTTCTGTTTACAAGTGTATGGTAGTTGTGTATGAACAGTTCTGTTTACAAGTGTATGGTAGTTGTGTATGAACAGTTCTGTATACAAGTGTATGGTAGTTGTGTATGAACAGTTCTGTTTACAAGTGTATGGTAGTTGTGTATGAACAGTTCTGTACACAAGTGTATGGTAGTTGTGTATGAACAGTTCTGTTTACAAGTGTATGGTAGTTGTGTATGAACAGTTCTGTTTACAAGTGTATGGTAGTTGTGTATGAACAGTTCTGTACACAAGTGTATGGTAGTTGTGTATGAACAGTTCTGTACACAAGTGTATGGTAGTTGTATGTTCAAGTGACATTATTAAAGTACCTCTTCCAATCTGTGTTCCTCCTCGTCCCACCTCTATGCTCCTCCTCCACCCTGTACCACTCTCCTACCTCAGTGCTCCAGCTCCTCCTCCGCCTACCTCTGTGCCCCTCCTCCGCCTACCTCTGTGCCCCTCCTCCTCCACCTACCCTGTGCCCCTCCTCCTCCACCTACCTCTGCCCCTAGGCCCCTCCTCCTCCTCCTCCCTACCTCTGCCTTCTTGCCCCTCCTCCTCCCGCCTACCTCTGTGCCCCTCCTCCTCCGCCTACCTCTGTGCCCTCCTCCTCCTACCTAGCCTCCTCCTCCGCCTACCCTGTGCCCCTCCTCCTCCGCCTCCTCTGTGCCTCCTCCTCCGCCTACCTCTGTGCCCCTCCTCCTCCGCCTACCTCTGTGCCTCCTCCTCCGCTACCTCTGTGCCCCTCCTCCTCTCCTCATCCTCCTCACTCCCGCCTCCTTGCCCCTCCTCCTCCCGCTACCTCTGTGCCCCTCCTCCTCCGCCTACCTCTGTGCTCCTCCTCCTCCTCCGCCTACCTCTGTGCTCCTCCTCCTCCCCTACCTCTGTGCTCCTCCTCCTCCGCCTACCTCTATGCTCCTCCTCCCTCCGCCTACCTCTGTGCTCCTCCTCCTCCTACCTTGTGCTCCTCCTCCTCCGCCCACCTCCTCCCTCCCACGCCTACCTCCTGTATCCTCCTCCTCCGCCTACCTCTGTGCCTCCTCCTCCGCCTACCTCCTGTACCTCCTCACTCCGCCACCTCTGTGCGCCTCCTCCTCCGCCTACCTCTGTGCGCTCCTCCTCCACTCCGCCTACCTCCGCCTCCTCCTCCGTACCTCTGTGCCTCCTCCTCCGCCTACCTCTGTGCTCCTCCTCCTCCGCCTACCTCTGTGCTCCTCCTCCTCCGCCTACCTCTGTGCTCCTCCTCTCCTGCCTACCTCTGTGCTCCTCCTCCTCCCCTACCTCTGTGCTCCTCCTCCTCCGTACCTCTGTACCTCCTCCCTCCTACCTCTGTGCTCCTCCTCCTACCTCTGTGCTCCTCCTCCCCCCCTCCTCCTCCTCCTCCCCCCTCCCTCCCCTCCTCCTCCCGCCCTGTGCCTCCCCTCCTCCGCCTCCCCTCTCCTCCTCCTCCCTCCCCCTGTGCTCCTCCTCCTCACCTCCCCCCCTCCTCCTCCGCCTCCCCTGTGCTCCTCCTCCTCCGCCTCCTGTCTCCTCCTGTGCTCCTCCTCCTCCGCCTCCCCTCTGTGCCTCCTCCGCCCCCCCCTGTGCTCCTCCTCCTCCGCCTCCCCTGTGCTCCTCCTCCTCCTCCGCCCCCCTGTGCCCTCCTCCTCCGCCTCCCCCCTGTGCTCCTCCTCCCCATGCTCCTCCTCCCCCTGTGCTCCTCCCTCCTGTGCTCCTCCCTCCCCCCTCCCTCCTCCTCCGCCTCCCGCCTCCCCTGTGCTCCTCCTCCTCCTCCCCTCCGCCCCTGTCCGCCTCCTCCTCCTCCCGCCTCCGCCCCTGTGCTCCTCCTCCTCCGCCTCCGCCCCCTGTCTCCTCCTCCTCCCCTCCGCCCCTGTGCTCCTCCTCCTCCGCCCCCCCCTGTGTCCTCTCCTCCTCCTCCGCCCCCTGTGCTCCTCCTCCTCCACGCCCCCTGTGCTCCTCCCCTCCCCTCCGCCCTGTGCTCTCCTGCCCGCCTCCCAGGCTCCTCCCCCTGTGCTCCTCCTCCTCCCCCTGTGCTCCTCCTCCTCCGCCTCCCTGTGCTCCTCCTCCCCCCCTGTCCGCTCCTCCTCCTCCTCCTCCCCTCCTCCTCCTCCCCCCTGTGCTCCCTCCTCCCCTCCTCTCCTCCTCCTCCCCTCTCCTCCTTCCTCCTCCTCCTCCTCCCCCCTCCTCCTCCTCCCCTCCCCTCTCCTCCCCTCCTCCTCCCCTCCTCCTCCTCCTCCTCCTCCCCTCCTCCTCCCCCCCTCCTCCCTCCTCCTCCCCCCTCTCCTCCTCCTCCTCCCCCCGTCCTCCTCCTCCTCCCCCTCCCCCCTGTCTCCTCCTCCTCCTCCCCTCCTCCCTCCCCCTCCTCCTCCTCCTCCTCCTCCCCTGACTCCTCCCTCCTCCTCCTCCTCCCCCCCTCCTCCTCCTCCTCCTCTCTCCCCCCTTCTCCTCCTCCTCCTCCTCCTCCCCCTCTCCTCCTCCTCCCCTCCCTCCTCCCCCCTCCTCCTCCTCCTCCCCTCCTCCCCTCCTCCCCCCTCTCCTCCTCCTCCTCCTCCTCCTCCTCCTCCTCCCCCCCCTCTCCTCCTCCTCCTCCTCCCCCCTCCTCCTCCCCTCCTCCCTCCTCCTCCTCCTCTCCTCCTCCTCCTCCTCCCTCTCCTCCTCCTCCTCCTCCCTCCTCCCTCCTCCCCCCCCCTCCTCCTCCTCCCCCCCTCCTCCTCCTCCTCCTCTCCTCCTCCTCCCCTCTCCCTCCTCCTCCTCCTCCTCCTCCTCCTCCCTCCTCCTCCTCCTCCTCCTCCCCTGTGCCCTCCTCCTCCCCCTGTGCTCCTCCTCCTGTGCTCCTCCTCCTCCTGTGCTCCTCCTCCTCCTCCTGCTCCTCCTCCTCCTCCTCCTCCCCCTGTGCTCCTCCTCCTCCTGTTCTTCCTCCTCCTCCTCCTCCTCCTCCCTCCTGCTCCTCCTCCTCCTCCTCCTCCCCCTGTGCTCCTCCTCCTCCTCCCTTCTTCCCTCCTGTGCTCCTCCTCCTCCTCCCCTGTGCTCCCTCCTCCTCCTCCTCTCCCCCCTGCTCCTCCCTCCTCCTCCTCCTCCCCCCTGTGCTCCTCCTCCTCCCCCTGTGCTCCTCCTCCTCCCCCTGTCCTCCCCTCCTCCTCCATGTGCTCCTCCTCCCCTCCTCCCTCCCCTTGTGCTCCTCCTCCTCCTCCTCCCCCTGTGCTCCTCCCTCCTCCTCCTCCTCCCCTGTGCTCCTCCTCCTCCTCCTCCTCCTCCCCTGTATCCTCCCCCCCTCCTCCCCCTGTGCTCCTCCCTCCTCTGTGCTCTCCTCCCCCCCTCCTCCTCCTCCTCCCCCTCCTCCTCCCCCCCTCCTCCTCCCCCCTGCTCCTCTCCTACCTGCTCCCCTCCTCCCCCTGTGCTCCTCCTCCCTCCTCCCCCCTGTGCTCCTCCTCCTCCTCCCTCCCCCCTGTGCTCCTCCTCCTCCTCCTCCCCCCTGTCTCCCTCCTGTCCTCCTCCTCCTCTATCTCTGTGCTCCTCCTCCTCCACCCTGGTCCATCCCTCCTACCTCTGTGTCTCCTCCTCCTCCTATACCTCCACCCTTGCCCCTCCTCCCCTGTACCCTCCTCCACCTGTGTCCCTCCTCCTCCTACCTCTGTGCTCCTCCCCTCTCTCCTCCTCCACCCTGTGCCCCTCCTCCTCCTACCTCTGTGCTCCTCCTCCCTCTCCTCCTCCACCCTGTGCCCCTCCTCCCCCTGTACTCCTCCTCCTCCTACCTCTGTGCTCCTCCCCTGTGCTCCTCCTCCACCCTGTGTCCTTCCTCCCTTCTACCTCTGTGCTCCTCCCCCTCACTCCTCCTCCACCTGTGCCCCTCCTACCTCTGTGCTCCTCCTCCTCCTTCCACCCTAGACTCCCCCCCCCTCCTCCTCCTCCACCCTGTGCCCCTCCTCCACCTACCTCTCTGCTCCTCCCCGTGTACTCCTACTCAACCCTGTGCCCCTGCCCCTCATACCTCTGTGCCCCTCTCTCTGTACTCCTCCTCCACCCTATGCCCCTCCTACCTCTCTTCTTCCTCCCCTTGTGCTCCTCCACACCCTGTGCTCCTCCTCCCCCTGTACTCCTCCACCCCTTGTGCTCCTCCACCCCTAATTACTTGCCAACTATGGGTTTCCCAGGTGAGATTTTGGTGTTTTTGTGTTCTTCTTGAAGTAATTAATTGGTTAAGCTCCTCAAATTCCAATTCCGAGAAAAAAGTCTATTTTGGTCAAAAAATTACTAAGGTGTAAGACTTATGTTTTTGGCCAAAAAATTGATTTTGCTGAAAATCTCAGTATATGTACTCCTGAGCATGCTGATGGCAAATCTATGATCCTCGTTTCGATTGAGGGGTAATTAGTGGACTTAATGAAGCTTGGAGTATTTCAAGAAACTATCTCAAGCAATATATTTACGATTTTTTCACTATTATTTCATAGAGAGCAGCAGGGGAGCATCTGCCTCTACTCACAGTACACTACAAATCATGGGAAACAGCAGTTTTAATGGTAAAGGAGTAAAGGTGTCAATATATATAGTGAGTGATGAAATTGGCAGTGGAATATTGGATAGATTGGTCAGATGGAATAGACAAATTGAGAGAATGGGATGTGTAAGACTGATAAGTGTGTGGTAGGAGGGAGGAGATGGAAGGGTGGGGTGGAGGCTGCACTAGAAGTGTGAAGGAAGGAACATCCAGCAAGCAGTGATGTGTGTGTATATGAAGGAGTGGATAATATGGCTGTGATTTGGGGGAAAAGACATGTATCTGGTGAGCAATGTTGACTTGTGAGGTAACACTTGCTGTGGGTGATGAAGTATTATACCAGGGCACATCTAGTCCACCAGGTAGTGTGACTATTGAATGAGTGTGTATGAAGAAAGTGATTTTAATTCTTGTCACTGCAATATACCAAATAAACATTACTATTTTTGGCTAATAAAATACTGTATTCATTTTACAGGTAGAAATAGAAAACATCACTACAGAGAGGATGAGAACCATAACTTGGTTTCCAGATGACACAGCACAATCAAGAAAAATGATCAAGACTACAGAAAAAGATGAATCTGCCCTAAATAAGTGTATCTACCCAACACGACTGGATTTGTTTTCCCCAAAGACATTAGCCCACTTACTGACCCACATTGGGGCCTGATGGGGTGAAAATAAGAAGCGATAATTATGTTGTGTTGTCAAAGTAAGAGAAACAATTAAATCCCTGCAATTTTATGTAAATGAGCCAGAAAGTCGGGTTCGGCAACCCGGGACTTTGGCTCAATATTTGTGATGCCATATGGCAAGAATGTATACCATTAGACAACACATTGTGCTTTCAATATCTTTCCAGGAAGTAGTACTGTACTTCGCTGTTTGGTTGCTGCATTAAATATGTCTACCTACATAAATATTAAATTTTTTTTAAGTGTATTGAAAGTTTATCTACTGACTACAGTAGACATAGTGTAAGAGTGAGGGAAGAACAAGCTATATTGTGTTTGGCTAAGGAAGGACTTCCAGTGATGTACAGGAACAAAGACTTGTTGACCTATTAGTGAGTGAGGGAATGACTTGCTGACCAATTAATGAGGCAGAGGTGTAGTGCTATAGGAATGCATGGGAATGGTATTTCTTTACTTTTTTCGGTAGGCGAAACGCATTCCCTCACTATTTCAAATAAATGTAAACTTACAAATCTCTAACGTCATGAAATTATAATTCCCACCCGTAGACGAAATACGAGAGAATTATTAACTGTTGCATTTCTTTTAGCTTTAACTGAGGTAATAATAGCGGCATTGCCTCATTATTTATATACAAAAAACTCGCCAAAAAAGTCACTCCCAGCCTTCCTCCCAAGTCTTACTGGTCCTTCCCTCACTCTAATGTGTAGGAGTTAGGGAAGGCCTCACTCTAATGTGTAGGAGTGAGGGAAGGACTCACTCTAATGTGTAGGAGTGAGGGAAGGACTCTGTGATGTGTAGGAGTGAGGAAGGACTCCGTGATGTGTAGGAGTGAGAGAAGGACTCTGTGATGTGTAGGAGTGAGAGAAGGACTCTGTGATGTGTAGGAGTGAGAGAAGGACTCTGTGATGTGTAGGGGTGAGAGAAGGACTCTGTGATGTGTAAGAGTGAGAGAAGGACTGATGTGTAGGAGTGAGAGAAGGACTCTGTGATGTGTAGGAGTGAGAGAAGGACTCTGTGATGTGTAGGGGTGAGAGAAGGACTCTGTGATGTGTAGGGGTGAGAGAAGGACTGATGTGTAGGAGTGAGAGAAGGACTCTGTGATGTGTAGGAGTGAGAGAAGGACTCTGTGATATGTAGGAGTGAGAGAAGGACTCTGTGATGTGTATGAGTGAGGTAACGACTCGGTGATTTGTAACAATGAGTGAAGAACTTGTGTGTTGTATAAGAGAGAGATATTCACTGAAATGTAGGACAGAAGGAAGGCCTTGTATATGAGTGACCATATAATATACAAGTAGACTTGTGTGTTATTAAAGTTAAGATTTTGTAATACTGTTATAATCATGTGTGTGGAATTTATGAAGAATGGTTTAGTTCACCTTAAATTAGTCATAGTTGTGCCTAATACAGGTATTTAAATTAATTTTTTGTTTACGTTAACCATTGTAAAGTGAAAGGTGTCAGTCCCATCACTCAGGTAGACTGCATTGCTCTAGTGGTCTATTCCATCATTGTGGCACAGTAGTAATGGTGACGTCACTGCTGTGTACCTGCAATGGGGTAGACTGCTTGTGTTGACTAGTTCAAAAATGTCAAAACATTGTTGAACTTAGGTTATTTTGTACATTGTCATCATTTGCATAACAAAATATTAATTCTTCCTGGCACTGTCCTATATAAGATGAGAGTTTAAGATTTTACTGTATTTTTCAGTAATTCTTACATCTTCACAACTTGCTTGTAACCAATGATGTTTCCTCTAGACAAACTTTTGTAATTATAATTTTATTTTGTATTTGTTGTCCATGTTAAAAAAAATCCTGAGGCAATGTGCCACTGCTAGGGGCTGTGTGAGTCCCCCAGGTTGTATATGAGGCTGCCAGGGGCTGTGTAGTTCACAGGTTATATAAAGTATTTAAGGACTGTGATGTCAACAGGGGCTGTTGTTTGTACTCCGGTATATGCGAGGGTCATACACAACTAATTGTGACTCTGGGCTGATTGTTGCTCCTAAGGTCTGTGTGATGCTCTTCGGGGGCTCTGTAACACTGCCGGGCTGGGTGAGGCTACTAGGTCAATGGGGCTTGTATAAGACCATGGAATCTGCCAGGGGACCGGTGTGGAGCTAGTAGAGGCTTTAGTGAGGTTACCAGGGGCTGTGTGATGTCACCAGGACCTAGGTGAGGCCATCAGAGGTGTCTGCTAGGGCCTATGTGAGGCTCGTCTGGTTGAGCAGTACAAGAGGTATGCGAGACCTGTCAACCAGGTTGGTAGCCTTGCACTGGTCAAGGTTAAGTCGTACTTAAGGCATCTGTTGACAGATCCACATCACAGAAGGCGACTGTACGTAGGAGAAACAGACATTAAACTAAATGTAAATCATGTAAATAAAAACATTGTTTCTTTTCCGTGTTTTTTCTTTTCCGTGTTTTATATATATATCCAAAGAAAGCTAAGCTGCTGCATAAACTCCAATTTCCCGTTTTCTATGATAAGTAGATAACCAACTTTCCCAGGAAGTAGATTATCGAATTTTGGGGAAATATTACCTAATTTTCAGAAGTAGATTATCATAGAAAACGGGAAATTTGTATCATAGAAAATGGGAAATAATCTACTTTCCGGGAAAGTTGGTTATCTACTTTCCCGAAAAGTAGATAATCTACTTTTCGGGAAAGTAGATTATCGACTTTTCGGGGAGGTAGATAATCGACTTTTTGAGAAATATTACCTAATTTTCAGAAGTAGATTATCATAGAAAACGGGAAATTTGTATCATAGAAAATGGGAAATAATCTACTTTCCGGGAAAGTTGGTTATCTACTTTCCCGAAAAGTAGATTATCTACTTTTCGGGAAAGTAGATTATCGACTTTTCGGGGAGGTAGATAATCGACTTTTTGAGAAATATTACCTAATTTTCAGAAGTAGATTATCATAGAAAACGGGAAATTTGTATCATAGAAAATGGGAAATAATCTACTTTCCGGGAAAGTTGGTTATCTACTTTCCCGAAAAGTAGATTATCTACTTTTCAGGAAAGTAGATTATCGACTTTTCGGGAAGTAGATTATCGAATTTTGGGGAAATATTACCTAATTTTCAGAAGTAGATTATCATAGAAAACGGGAAATTTGTATCATAGAAAATGGGAAATAATCTACTTTCCGGGAAAGTTGGTTATCTACTTTCCCGAAAAGTAGATTATCTACTTTTCAGGAAAGTAGATTATCGACTTTTCGGGGAGGTAGATAATCGACTTTTTGAGAAATATTACCTAATTTTCAGAAGTAGATTATCATAGAAAACGGGAAATTTGTAACACAGAAAATGGGAAATATCTACTTTCTGGGAAAGTTGGTTATCTACTTATCATAGAAAACGGGAAATTTGTATCATAGAAAATGGGAAATAATCTACTTTCCGGGAAAGTTGGTTATCTACTTTCCCGAAAAGTAGATTATCTACTTTTCAGGAAAGTAGATTATCGACTTTTCGGGAAGTAGATTATCGATTTTGGGGAAATAATATTGCAATTTTCGAAGTAGATTATCATAGAAAACGGGAAATTTGTATCATAGAAAATGGGAAATAATCTACTTTCCGGGAAAGTTGGTTATCTACTTTCCCGAAAGTAGATTATCTACTTTTCGGAAAGTAGATTATCGACTTTCGAAATATTACCTAATTTTCAAGTAGATTATCATAGAAACGGGAAATTTGTATCATAGAAATGGGAAATAATCTACTTTCGGGAAAGTTGGTTATCTACTTTCCCGAAAAGTAGATTATCTACTTTTCAGGAAAGTAGATTATCGACTTTTCGGGAAGTAGATTATCGAATTTTTGGGAAATATTACCTAATTTTCAGAAGTAGATTATCATAGAAAACGGGAAATTTGTATCATAGAAACTGGGAAATAATCTACTTTCCGGGAAAGTTGGTTATCTACTTTCCCGAAAAGTAGATTATCTACTTTTCAGGAAAGTAGATTATCGACTTTTCGAGAAGTAGATTATCGAATTTTGGGGAAATATTGCCTAATTTTCAGAAGTAGATTATCATAGAAAACGGGAAATTTGTATCATAAAAAATGGGAAATATCTACTTTCCGGGAAAGTTGGTTATCTACTTTCCCGAAAAGTAGACAGATTTTCTACTTCTCGGGAAAGTAGATTATCGACTTTTCGGGGAAGTAGATTTTCGAATTTGGGGGGAAATATTACCTAATTTTGCGAAGTAGATTATCATAGAAAAAGGGAAATTTGTGTCATAAAAAATGGGAAATATCTACTTTCCGGGAAAGCTGGTTATCTACTTATCATAGAAAACGGGAAATTTGTATCATAGAAAATGGGAAATAATCTACTTTCCGGGAAAGTTGGTTATCTACTTTCCCGAAAAGTAGATTATCTACTTTTCGGGAAAGTAGATTATCGACTTTTTGGGAAATATTACCCAATTTTGCGAAGTAGATTACCATAGAAAACGGGAAATTTGTATAACAGAAAACGGGAAATATCTACTTTCTGGTGAAAGTTGGTTATCTACTTATCATAGAAAACGGGAAATTTGTATCATAGAAAATGGGAAATAATCTACTTTCCGGGAAAGTTGGTTATCTACTTTCCCGAAAAGTAGATTATCTACTTTTCGTGAAAGTAGATTATTTCCCAAAAATTCGATAATGTACTTCCCGAAAAGTCGATAATCTACTTTCCTGAAAAGTAGATAATCTACTTTTCGGGAAAGTAGATAACCAACTTTCCCGGAAAGTAGATTATTTCCCATTTTCTATGATACAAATTTCCCGTTTTCTATGATAAGTAGACAACCAACTTTCCCAGAAAATAGATTATTTCCCATTTTCTATGATACAAATTTCCCGTTTTCTATGATAATCTACTTCTGAAAATTAGGTAATATTTCCCAAAAATTCGATAATCTACTTCCCGAAAAGTCGATAATCTACTTTCCTGAAAAGTAGATA